AAAAAAAAAAAAAAAAAAAAAAAAAAAAACAGAACAATGAAACAGAATAGAGAACCCAGAATAACCCACTCATATATAGTCAATTAATTTATGACAAAGGAGCCAAGAATATACCGTTGGTAAAGAATATTCTGTTCATTAAATGGTGTTGGGAAAACTGGATATCCACACACAAATGAATGAAACTGGACCCCTATCTTACAGCATACACAAAAAACAACTCAAAATGGATTAAAGGCTTGAATGTAAGACCTCTAGCCGTAAAACTCCTAGAAATAACGTAAGGTATAATCTCCCGGATCTGGGTCTTGCAGTGAGTTTTTGGATTTGACACCAAAAGCAAAGGCAGCAAAAGGAAAAATAAACAAGTAGGACTACATGCAATTAAAAACTTCTGTACAGCAAAGGAAACCATCAACAGAATGAAAAGGTAAACAATGGAATGGGAAAAAACATTTGCAAACTACATATACAATAAGTGGTTAGGGGGAAAGTGGGGGGGGTCGTGGTAGGATGAACTGGGAGATTGGGATTGACATATATACACTAATATGTATAAAATGGATGACTAATAAGAACCTGCTATATAAAAAATAAATTAAAAAAAAAACAATAAGGGGTTAATGTCCAAAATATACAAGGTACTCATACAACTCAATAGCAAAAAATCAAATAACCCAATTTAAAAAAAGGGCAAAGGACCTGAACAGATATTTTCCTAGAGAAGACATACAAATGGCAACAGATAGATGAAAAGGTAGTCAACATCACTAATCATCAAGGAAATGCAAATCAAAACCATGAGATATCATCTCACACCTGTTAGGATGTCTACTATCAAAAAGATACAAATAAAAAATGCTGATGAGGATGTGAAGAAAAGGAAATCCTGGATGGGGAACTGGTGTTGGTGGGAATGTAAACTGGTACAACCACTATGAAAAACAGTATGGAGGTTCTTCAAAAAATTTAAGATAGAATTATCATATGATCCAGCAATCCCACTTCTGGGTATACAGTTGACCCTTGAACAACATAGAGGTTGGTGGCACTGACCCGCTGCCCAGTTTAAAATCCAAGTATAACTTATAGTTGGTCCTTCTGTATCCATGATTCTTCATCCATGGATTCAATCAACTTTGGATCGTGTAGTACTGTGGTATTTACTATTGAGAAAAAAATCCTTGTATAAGTGCACCCTAGCAGTTCAAACCTGTGATGTTCAAGGGTCAATTGTATATCCAAAGGAAGCAAAATCATTTTCTTGAAGAGATATCTATACTCCCATGTTCACTGCAGCATTATTCACAATGGCCAAGGTGCAGAAACAACGTGTCTGTCGATGAAAGAATGAATAAAGGATATGTAGTATAAATATAGAATGGAGTATTATTCAGCCTTAAAAGAAGGAAATCTTGCCAGTTGCAACAACATGGATGAATCTGGAGGGAATTATGGTAAATGAAATAGCCAGATAGAGGAAGACATTATTTATATGTGGAATTTTAAAAAAAAAGAAAGTTGAACTCAGAGAAACAAAGAGTAGAATGGCAGCTGTCAGGAGACAGGGGTGAGGGAAAGAGAAAGAGGTTAGTAAAAGGGTATAAACTTTCAGTTAGAAGAGAAATAAGATCTGAGGATCTAATATATAATGGTGACTATAGTTGACAATACTGTATTGTATGATTGAAATTTGATAAGAGTGGAACTTAAGTGTTCTCACGAAAAAAAAAAGATAAATATGTGAGGTGATAGATTTAACTCATTGGTGGGGATCATTTTACAAGGTATATGTATCAAAGCATCATCTTTAAATGTATTACAGTTTTGTCAGTTATACCTCAATAAAGCAGAAAAAAAAGTGAGAAATGTATTATTGATAGTGGTGATGATTGTACCACTATCATTCAACTCTGAATATACTAAAAGCCTCATTGTGCACTTTAAAAGGGTGAATTTTATGGCATGCAAAGTATATTTCAAGTAAAAAATTTACATACAAAAATGAAAAAAATGTTGATATTTGCTATATACGAGGCGTTGTTGGTGCTGGTGATTCATTAGTGAATGGAGAACTAGAAGGTGGTACTTAATTCTAATGTGAACAATTCTGGTGGACTTCATAGTTCAAAGAAGGATCACCAGGGGGTGGGGGTGGGGCTGGGGGAGATGAAAGAGACCTGAGCATGGAGCTGAGAAGAATGGTAAAAGGGTTTCTCTTGGGAGGAAATGATACTTTCTTTTCTGAAACAGGAAAGAAAGGAAAGAAAAAAAGAAAGAGGGAGAGAGAGAGAGAAAGGAAGGAAGGAAGGAAGGAAGGAAGAAAGAGGAAGGAAGGAAGGAAGAAAGGAAGGAAGGAAGGAAGAGAAAGAAAGAAAGAGAGAAAGAAGGAAAGAAAGGGAAAGAAAGAAAGGAAGGAAGAAAGAAAGAAAGGAAGAAAAGAAAGAAAGGGAAAAGAGAGGGAAGGAGGGAGGAAGGAAAGAAGGGAAAGGAAGGAAGGAAGGAAGAAAGAGAGAAAGGAAGGAAGGAAGGTTAGAAAAAGTAGGCTTAGATACTGCAAAATTTTGAGAAAGAACTCTGCGGTGTTTCTGTGTGGTGGTGTTATATCTGTAAAGAGAGATGAAATTTAATTCTTATATTGACTTTTTGTGCATATAGGAGAAAATATCAGTTTTATAGTCACAGTACTTCAGCACACTTCACCCAGGAAAATAGTCTTCTAGAATCTAGGCATTTGGCAGTCCTGGTCACAGGTGGGAATTTCTACCTCAGTAGCTGTCCTAGGACAAGTCTATCAGAGCAACTGACACACAATTTCCAGCCAGCTGTTTGGTCTTATTTTTAGGTTGTAAATTTTTCCAGAAACAAGCTCTGCATTTTCAAGTGCCCTGTGTCCATGCTTTTGATAATAGCTTAATAAATATTTGATTCATGATGTTTGTTAACAGCTCCTTCATTTCCAGAAGAAGAATGAATGTGAGTTGCCAGGGTATGTATTCTACTTAGTACTTCAGTTAGTAGGGGGATATGGCAGAGTATCCTATCTTTTATTTATGCTTATAGTTATACAATGCAACTTAGTGATTAAGTGAGGGGTGCAAGTTGGAAGGGACTCTGCTGGGTGGAAATATCTTAAAAATCCACAAGAGGGAGATATATTGCTATTGAAGTAGAATGGTGCTAATGAAATACCAATTCCTAACTTTTCAGAGCAGAATATTTTACTGCATTTCCCCAGCTGAAAATAAGAAAAGGATAGGCTTTCTCAAGTTTGACTTTTCAGTTTTCTTTTGGGATAGGAGATTAGATTTAGGAATGCTCAGTTATTTGCAGAGTCTTGGAATATGCATGATATGTCAAGGTTTATGATGCATCAACAGCTTCAATGAGCACATCTAAAGGCTTTAAGGATTTTTGTTTTTGATCTGATTGTGACTCTTTCAAGGACGGTTTGCAAAGCTGTCTTTTCTCTGCTTCCTCTTTTCATTTCTTTGGCAGTGGCAGTGGGGAGTCCGTGCTGGCCAGATTGGGTCTTGTATTCTTACTGGGAAGTGCCCTTGCTAATCTCACTGTCTCCTTTGGGCAAGATGTCTCAGCAGGACGAATCATCTTGGTTTTCAGTGGCCTTTACCTACGAAGAGGCAGAGCTGAACTCTAAGTAACTATAGAAAAGGAACCTTTATTTTTTATTTTATTTTATTTTATTTTTGCGGTACACGGGCCTCTCACTGTTGTGGCCTCTCCCGTTGCAGAGCACAGGCTCCGGATGCGCAGGCTCAGCGGCCATGGCTCACGGGCCCAGCCGCTCCGTGGTATGTGAGATCTTCCCGGACCGGGGCACGAACCCGTGTCCCCTGCATCGGCAGGTGGACTCTCAACCACTGCGCCACCAGGGAAGCCCCAGGAACCTTTATTTTAAATAGCATATATTTGTACTTTGAAATTCATATTCCTTGCCTGACCTCCTCATGTTTATGTGGTCAGCAGGGCAGAAACCCTTTATGATTTCAGAAGAAATGTTTGCAACATTATTACTAGATTACTTACAAGCTTTATTTGCTTTCTTTTCAGAAAAAAATATTTTTTTCTCTTCCGATATGAAGAAATGATATGTACTAATGATACCTTTAGTGTTTGCCTTTCCTGAAGACTTCCTAATTCTTTTTTTTAGCAGCCATGGCTCACAGGCCCAGCCGCTCCGCAGCATGTGGGATCCTCCCAGACTGGGGCACGAACCCGTGTCCCCTGCATCGGCAGGTGGACTCTCAACCACTGGGCCACCAGGGAGGCCCAAGACTTCCTAATTCTTAAAACTATTTTTTCCTTGGTCTTCCCATTCCCTTTTATAGTGTCCTATTCTCAGTATTCTTTGAGTGATCATTTCCTTCTTCCCACATCATTGCAGTCCAGGGTGACCTCTGTGGTCAGCCTCTCTTAGGAAGGCTGTGTTGTGTAAAGGCTAAGAGCACAGGCTGGAGACAGTCTGTTCTGGGTTCATATCCCAGCTCCAGCACTGACTAGCTGTGTGCGACTTTGTGCAAGTTGCTTCAGTTATCTAAGCCTTAGTCTTACAAACCACAAAATGGGGATAATGATTGGATTTATGTGAGGATGAGATCAGTTAATATATGTAAAGGGCTTAGAACAGTGTCCGGCAAATAGGAAGCACACTTTAAAGGTTGGCCATTACTATTGTTTTCATTATTAATCTCTTCCACCAGAGACTCTCCTTGCAGGAGCTCAGCTACACCATAAGTCTCATGTATTCCCTTTATATCTTTTCTGAGCTCTAGACACATTTCCTAGAGCTTTCTAGACATTTTCACATGGGCTGCCAACAGGGTACCTCAGACTCAACATATTTAGAACTGAACGCATTATCTGTCAGTCTCCACTCCTGGTAACCTGCTTCTTTTTCTATTCCCTCTTTTAGCCAATGGCATCATTTCTTGTCTAGGAGCTGAAGCCAGGAAACAAAGAGTTATCCTTGCCTTCAATCCTTTACCTCAAACTCATTTGATTACCAAATTATGTCAATGCACCTATTCAAACTTCATCCACACTCAAGCCCTTTATTACTACAGGGACCTTGAACCCTCTTCTTGCCCTTACTTGTACCTCGTTCTTTCCACTTTGTCCAGAACGATATTTTACAAATGAAAATCTGATCCCATACCTCCTCAGATTAAAAAGTTCTGTATTTTTCATAGCTTTCAATGTTATATATAGTATGACACACAAGATCCTTCATGACCTGGCCCTTGCTTGCCTCACTGTGCTGACCTGTTGCTTCTCTTTGCCACATAGAAAATGTTGTTCTCTTTCCCATTTATTTGCTGCTATAATCTTTCAGTGATACGAGCAGTTATACACATGGGATAAAATAATGTTGGGCCACTGTGAATTGAGCTGAAGTAACCATTTCATCTCTTCTCCATGGTCTAGACATTGCTTCCGTGTCTAAATGTCCTGTGTAAGCAGGATTTAATCGAGGCACTTAGAGTGAATTTCTACGTGGACTTATTAAAGCATTGATTTAAGAATTTCAGTTTTTTTTTTTTGTTGTTGTTGTTTTTGCGGTACGCGGGCCTCTCACTCTTGTGGCCTCTCCCGTTGCGGAGCACAGGCTCCGGACGCGCAGGCTCAGCGGCCATGGCTCACGGGCCCAGCCGCTCCGCGGCATGTGGGATCTTCCCGGACCGGGGCACAAATCCGTGTCCCCTGCATCGGCAGGCAGACTCTCAACCACTGCGCCACCAGGGAAGCCCAGTATTTTTTAAGTAGCACTAAGGCTCATACCTCTGCCTCAGTCATCTTACGTGGGGCGAATGATTTCATGTGTGACCAGATGGCGTGCTCTTTACATGATGCTCTTCGTGTGGTGAAGAGTTTTGGAGTCAAAATCTGTGATTCCGGGTGGAGGCGCTGTAGAAGCAGCCCTTTCCATATACCTTGGAAACTACGCAACCAGCGTGGGCTCCCGGGAACAACTTGCTATTGTGGAATTTACAAGATCTCTTCCTGTTATTCCTAATACTCTGGCAGTTAATGCTGCCCAAGACTCCACAGATCTGGTTGCAAAATTAAGAACTTTTCATCATGAGGCTCAGGTTAACCCAGAATACAAAAATCTAAAAAGGATTGGTCTTGACCTGGTCAATGGTAAACCCCGAGACAACAAACAGGCAGGGATGTTTGAACCAACCATAGTTAAAGTTAAGAGTTTGAAATTTGCAACTGAAGCTGCAATTACCGTTCTTCGAATTGATGATCTTATTAAATTACACTCAGAATGCAAAGACGATAAGCATGGAGGTTATGAAGATGCTGTTCACTCTGGAGCCCTTGATGACCTGATTTCTTTTATTTACAACAATCTTAGATGCAATTTTCTTGTACCTCGAGTATTACACATTAAAGTGCAAATTAAGTGGTCAAAAAACAAAAAGAAAAGAAAATGTTCTTATTTTGAGTTGGGGACACAAAGGACGAAACCTCATTATACGTGCAGCAGAGAGGGATTAGTATCTAAATACCTGTTTTAGTAGAGATCCTAGCATATAGTAGGTACTAAATACATGTTAATATTTGTATGAATAAAATCTGGGCTCTATATGAATGGGAGTGCTTTGTTGCTCACGGACTGTAAAACTGTCCTCGATGTGTTGATTGGAATCAGTTTGTTCCACAGTATAATTAAAATGTGAGAAATGTTTCTTGCACATCAGTAATATAAACACTTTCAAATAATGTCTGAGGAAATGCAAGCTCAAATTTACAAATAGCCTTTTACATAAACAAAACTCAGAGGTGCACTTTCCCCTTAATTCATGTATATAACTTCCATTAATGTTCCTTGCCTCGGTATTTAGCTTTTATTTTTATGTCTGTAGTATAAATCTGAGTCTTGACACTTTAATGGAAAGATCTTGGTTTGTGATGACATCATATCAAATGTAAAATAGAGATGGTTGCATTGTTTGGAAAACTTTCATCTGAGAATGTTTGTCTGTAATCCTGAAGAAAAATTATTTTAAGCCAGTGACACTCTGATTCTCAAGGGAGCCTCTTCCAGTTCATAGGTTTTACATGCTACCTTCACCCCTCCAAACTATATCTCCGCATGATTTATTGTGGGCAGCTATAGAGAAAATGGCTTGATATGGCCCAGTCCCAGTTAAAAGGCAAAGGGCTCAGGCTGGAGAGAAATGCAATAACTCATTATGGCTTCTATAGGAAGGGGCTGATATGTTGCTGGGCTGGGGATGAGAAGGAACGGGTCGTGGGAAGGGACCAGATGTAGCTCATTCTGTTGTTGTTATTATTATTAGTGTAGTGTTTGGCATATAGTCGGTATTCGAGAAACCACTCTGGTGAGACTTTGTTCCACATCCTATAATGTAAACTTTTTTTTTTTTTTTTTTTGCGGTACGCGGGCCTCTCACGGTTGTGGCCTCTCCCGTTGCGGAGCACAGGCTCCGGACGCGCAGGCTCAGCGGCCATGGCTCACGGGCCCACCGGCTCCTAGGCATGTGGGATCTTCCCGGACTGGGGCACGAACCCGTGTCCCCTGCATCGGCAGGTGGACTCTCAACCACTGCGCCACCAGGGAAGCCCTAATGTAAACTTTTTCATACCAACGTCGGGGCAAGTTAGAGGTTTGAATGTACCAGAGTTTCCTGGGTTTTCTTATGTTGTTCTGAGATCCTGAAAAATTGGAGGTAGGCATAAATCTTTGATTCTCCTCACAATTCTCTTTTAGGCATTCCTGACAGAGGGCGTGGCCATTGGATCCTGCTTGTTATAAATGGAAGTCTGAAACCCAGCGGTCTCCCTGAGTTATCTTCACTCACTTCCCACCCCACCTACCCATAGTAGAGCAACTGCCCCGATGAATGATGTGAGGCTTTGACCTTCATGCTGAATTGTGACCATGACTTTTTAATCTAGTACTTTGTTCACTGGATCAGACATAGGCTGAGAGTTTTTATCCCAGGGCAATACCACTTCTCCAAACGTGAATCTCAATGGCTACTTCAAGGATCATAGAATACTGAGCTGGAATCTAGGTCATTGTCCTTTTATTAGGGAGGAAGAAACAGGCTCACAGACATGAAGTTCCTTGCTTAAGATGGGTTTAGTGACAGAGCAAGGCTGAGAGCTCAGTTACCTGATTTCCAGCACAAACATTTCCTCCCTCACTCCATTCCCTGTTTCTCTCATTCTCTCTCTTTCCTCCATTCCTTCTTCCCTTCTCCCTTCTATTTTATTTCTGTCATATGAGAACACTTTCACAGCATAGAAGACATAATTTGATATGTTACACAATTATTTGGTATAATTTTTATATCATAAAAGTCCTAACAAACAATTCTTAAATGACCACAAGATATTATTCAAAGGCATAAAAAGATGGAGTTTACTTTTGGGGGGTTTTATTCACTGTTAACTTTCTCTAAATCAGAGAATTGAGTCCTGCCTGTTTTGCTATCAGACTGCTCAGACACTGATGTTGTTTTGTCCTCCTTTGTGGCTCATTTTTTGTAGCTGATGCTCTCGTAAGGGCAACTCATTGTCTTGTTCTTAGTTCAGCCCGCTCTCTCGTGTCATTTAATATCACCGTGACACTTCTCTCGGTTGAAAATTATACATTAGCTGCATAATTATTTTTTCTTTTTATTTTAAAAATATTTCAAGCATACAAGAGTTAATAACAGAAACCCGTATTTTCCACTATCCAGATTTAGTACATATTAACATTTTGCCATAACTTTTTCAGATAGTTTTAATGAAATATAACATTGCAGATCCATTGGAAACCCCCTTAACCCCCAAATCTCCCCAGGGATAAGCATTGTTAATGTGTACCCCCTTCTTTATATTATGTCTCCAAAAACAATGTGTTTTAAATAATTTACATAAATGGAATCATTGTGTATGTTCTTTTTTGCAACTTTCCTTATTTACTCAAAACTACTTTCTTTAGATATATTCATACTGATACAGTAATTCATTTTCATTGATCCTAGTATGTATGATATTATTTTATGAAAAACATCATAATTTATCTCTCTCTTCCACTATTGATAGACATTACAGTTGCATTTAATTTTTTCTGTTATAAATAGTGCTGCAGTGAACATCTTTGTCTATATTTTTTGGTGGATTTATGTGAGAGATGCTGTAGGGTCCCCACCTAAGAGTGAAATTTGAGGTTTGTAACTTATATTTAATTTTGCTAAATGTGCTAATTATTCCCCAAAGTGGCTTTCCAGCTGACCCTCTTCCCAGCAGTGCATGAGAGTTCACATTTCCCTATGTCCTCTGTTGCAGCAACTTGAGTACTGTTCACCAGTGACTTCCAGCTCTCTGCCTTCTAGGCATGTGGAGGCCTTGCACTCTCCCATTTCCTTTGAAGTTAGGCATAGCCATGAGATCATTTTAGACAATGAAATGTGAGCAGAGTCTTAAGGGCGAGTGAGGCATTCATCACATTGTCTGGACTTTGCCTCAGTGAACTTTCATGATCCCTATGGTGAATTCTTCATTGTATTGGGTTGCAGTGAGGATAACATGGAGTATAAAGCCTCCAGCTGACTGGACAGTAAACATTAACTATGAGTTATAAATAAATCATTGATGTTTTATATTAGAGCTTGGAAAACTATCCTGTTGGCCAAATCTGACCCACTGCCTGTTTCTATAAAGCTTTATTGGAACACAGCCATGCCAGTTTTTGTATGTCTTGTCCAGGCAGAGTTGAGTAGTTGAGACAGAAACCAGGTGGTGTACAAAGTTGAAGATATTTATTATTTGGCCCTTTGTAGAAAAAGTTTGCTGACCCCCGTTTTAAGCCACTGATCTTTTGGGATTGTTTGTTACTGTTGTAGATCATAGCACATTTTGACTGATATGCTCACCACCATGTGGTATTATCTGACTATAAACTTCTTACCAATCTAATGGGTGTCTTGAAATATTTTTTATCAGGTAAGTAAATAATTCCTTTTGTAAAAAAAATAAATTTATTTTATTTATTTATTTTTGGCTGCATTGGGTCTTCTTGCTGCACACGGGCTTTCTCTAGTTGTGGCGAGCGGGGGTTACTCTTTGTTGCGGTGTGCGGGCTTCTCCTTGCAGTGGCTTCTCTTGTTGCAAAGCACGGGCTCTAGGCGCACGGGCTTCAGTAGTTGTGGCATGAGGGCTCAGTAGTTGTGGCTTGTGGGCTCTAGAACGCAGGCTCAGTAGTTGTGGTGAGCTTAGTTGTTCTGCGGCATGTGGGATCTTCCCGGACCAGGGCTCGAACCCGTGTCCCCTGTGTTGGCAGGAGGACTCCCAACCACTGAACCACCAGGGAAGTCCCAATAATTCCTTTTTGAAAGCCACAGACATATCTTGATGACCCTAATGGCTCTTTATTTTTAAAGTTTTTAAAAATCAACTTTATTGAGGTATAATTACATACAATGAAATTCACCCATAAAATTCCATAATTTTTATTAAATATACAGAGTGTGCAATCATCACTATAACCCAGTTTTAGAGCAATTTCATTATCCCAAAAAGTTCCCTTGGGCCCTTTTGCAGTCAATCCTCACTCCCATCCCTAGCCCCAGACAACCACTAATCTGCCTCCTGTCTGTATGAATTTTTCATTTCTGGACATTTCATACTTTTGGAATCATGTAAGTCTAAATGGAGTCATGTAATCTTTTGCATTTGTCTTCCTTCCCTTAGCATAATATTTTTGAGATTCATCCTTGTTTTAGCACAAATCTATAGTTTGTTCCTCTTTATTGCTGAATAGTATTCCACAGTACATGGAAATTCCACATTTTATTTATCCATCCACAAGCTGATGGAAATTTGTTTTGTTTCTACTTTGGCTATTATCAATGCTGCTATAAACACTTGCATACAAGTCTTTATATAGACATATGTTTAAAATGGGTAAATTTCTGGGAGTGGTCCTGTTGTATAAGATGGTTAGGTTTATGTTTCACTCTTAAAAGAAACTGCCAAACTGTTTTCCATTTTACCATTTTACCTTTCCACCAGCAATGTATGAGAGAGTTCCAGTTTTTCCACACCCTCACCAACATTTGATGTTGTGTCTTTTTGATTATTGCCATCTCGCGGGTACACAGTAGTATTTCCTTGTGATTTTAATTTTCATTTCACTAGATACTACTGATGTTGAGCAATTTTTCATGTGATTATTAAACATTCACGTGTTTTGTTTTTTGTTCTTTTGTTTTTTTTTGCGGTACGTGGGCCTCTCACTGTCGTGGCCTCTCCCGCCTCGGAGCACAGGCTCCGGACGCGCAGGCTCAGCGGCCATGGCCCACGGGCCGAGCCGCTCCGCGGCACGTGGGATCCTCCCGGACCGGGGCACGAACCCGCG